AAGAGTGCTGGGTTCCGATGACCCCAGTTACATGCTTATCTAACCTCCTCTTGAAGACCCCCAGGGTAGGGGAGAGCACCACCTCCCTTGGGAGCCCATTCCAGATCTTGGCCACTCGAACTGTGAAGAAGTTTCAATGTCTAGTCTAAATCTGCTCTCTGCTAGCTTGTGGCCATTATTTCTTGTAACCCCCGGGGGCACCTTGGTGAATAAAACCTCACCAATTCCCTTCTGTGCCCCCGTGATGAACTTATAGGCAGCCACAAGGTCGCTGTGTTCCTTTCTACCTCTGTGATCCACAAAGCATTACACAGCAAAGCACTCACATCTTATGCCTAGTTTCTAATCACAGCTCCTATCAATCTGTGTCAGTCTTTGGCAGAGAATTCAGATATTGGACATGCAGTGGGGCTAGCTATATATAATCAACTGGTGCATAGGATGCACATGCATTCAGTTCCTACCTCAGTGCTTTTAGAGACAAGTTGGTTATGGAAGTGCAGGAAGCCAAATCAAGGTGCCTGAGTTTAGAGCAGAACTTACTGAGGCTGGTACAGGTACTGAAAGAGAATAAAAACCAAACACATGAGATAAATGTGTCATAGAATCATAGAAATTATCAGAGATGTATGCTTTTCATATAGTCATGCAATATTATTCCATCGTATCACTATATGCACAAGAGAACAGCAGGCCCTCACTTAAAGAAGGAAGCCAAATACAACTAGTACAGACATAAAATAAAGGAATCTGTAAGTAGTGAGCAGACAGGTAGGAAGATGGAAGAACTTTCCTTCACATTTCCACTCATTTCAGTTTACGTAAAAGCATTCATTTGCATCAAAATGGAAAGGGCCATTTCACAGGGCATTTCTAATACCTGTCATCAAAGTAACCTATATCACACCAAAGATTGAGGCTCTCTTCCTTATTTTTTCATCCTGCTGCTCAGGATTATTGTTTTTAACATTTGGGCATGGACAGATGAACAAGGGAGCGAGGAGGGAGTACACCTCATCACTTGAAAGCACACATCAGCTGATATATTGCATCCGTCTGCTGCCCTGAAATAATAAGTGGAGTTAAACTGCAATGACTTACCCCAAATAAATACAGGAGATAATTTTTTGCAGATTAGCTGCCACTTACCAGGAGACAGAGTGGACAACTTAACCACTTACAGTGGATTCAGCTGAGCTGTGCTAAGCCCCTTCCCTTTCAATCAGTATAACTGTTATGCCTATCCACACCCTCAGATGACCAAGCTAAAAAACAAGAGCTCTATGCTGGCAGCTGTCTCATGTAAATGAAGCACATTTTAGCCACCTAGTTGATGCAAGTGGCAGTGATCTCGCCTGCCTGAAGATTCATTTCCAAGGGAACAACAACAAAATATGGCTTTCTGAAGTGCTGAGTATGTAGGCAACTACACACTAAGAAAACCAGCTGCCTCTTGCAAAAGCTTCCAAAGAATTATTCAGCTAGCATAGCGTGGGCTTGTACACTTTGTGTACAAGATTCACAAATCCCCCCCCCCCCCCCCCAAATGTTGCAAGTTATGTCTACAAGTCCCCTCTTCAAAATCTTAGCAGGAGTCCAGCTAAGCTAGAAAAAAAAATCTAGATTTGATCTATGATCCTCTCCTCTGATTCCACTGAGCTGGCAGAACTGCAAAAGCAGGGCTTTTAATCCTGCCAGGTGCTGAGTGCACTGGCCTTACTTAAAGTCAAAAGCACATGCTGCAACTTAAGATCAAAAGCAGTTTCACCAGAGTTAATGGTTGTGGTTCTACTAGGGGTGATGGCACAGACTGGCTATGCTTTTTTTCTAATAACAAGATCATATTCATTTTTAAAAACATTAACAGTACAAGACATGTTTACCCCACTCATAATACATTCCTATACCCTTGTCGGTTAAGCTAAATGCCAAAACTATTTCAAGGGAAGTTTAGGTAAGATCAGAATAATGGTGACTTTGCCCCAAAATCATCAGAAAGTCGAGATGTCTGAAAATATTATAGTTAGAAGTATATGCTGAAAAGTAAGAGAAGTGTAGCAATTAAGGCTATAGCTTTTCTTAACAGTTACTATTTGTGGCATATAAAAAGCATTAAATTAATGCTTCTTTCAATTACTAGGATCTTATTCAACCCAAACATGCAAAATGATTTAGAGGATTTCCCTACTATTCTTCTAGGAAGAATATTTTGTGCCATTGTATTTTCGTTTTGAGAAAAAATTATATCATTTAGATGCAGAATCTGTAGGAAATCTTCAGAAAGTGCACAAACATAGCAGGCCTCTACCCTTCTGAAACAATTCACAAACAGCTGCTGTAGAAAGTACGGGGATATCTTTCAATCCAGTACATGCTGATGTAAGATGCTACAAAAAGCACTTTATCAAGGAAAAACACAAGTGGCTAAGAAACCAGCTCTTTCTCTAGGCAAACCAAAATCCTCTCTGCCCTTGGAAAAACACAAATCTACAAGGTGTATGGAAGCTGTAGTTTCTTGTTGCTGTGCACTGGCTGTTACAGTAACATTTTTGCTACTCTAACAGCCAATGCACAGCAACAAGGAACTACAGCTTCACACGCATCACTACAACTAGCACATTTTATGGATGACACATTGTCATATGACAGCTCCTCAGCTAATAATAAAAATCGACCAAAACATGTTGTTTAGGATGGTTTAGACCAGGGGTGGCTAACCAGTGGCATGTGTGCCACACACAAGAAGCTGTCTGTACCGCTTGTGACACCCAGCAGATCAGGGAGGGGGCAGGGAGCATGTCAGCAGATAGAGTAGGGAGCAGAAAGTGAAGTAGCAGATCAAGCAGAGGGCACAAGGAAGGAAGCAGAAAGCGGACCAGCAGACCAGCAAAGGGCTGGGAGCAGAAAGCAAAGCAGCAGGTCAGCAACGGGAAGCAGAAGGCAGAACAGCAGATCAACAAAGGGCTGGGAGCAGAAAGCAGAGCAGCACGTCAGGTAGGGGGAACAGACAGGAGTGGCACTTGGGAAGAGCATGGGACTAATTTGTGGCACATCTGCCATAAAGGTTGGCCCCATTGGTTTAGACAGGTTTGGACTAGATGTCACCTCCTGAGGTCCCTTCCTGCCCTATTTACTAGTGGTGCCTGTAGGCCTGTGGGACACCTGCTCTGATGTGCTGTAATCACAGCATGTCAGAGCAGACTCGATTAACCATAGCACGTCGGAGCAGACTCAACTAATTGAGTCTGTTGGAGTGTGCTAATTAGCAAGCTCCAGCAGCCTCAGTGTCTCATGCGTCGAAAGAGCTTTAGCTAAAGCACCCCTACTGCCATTTTGAAGTGTGGGATGCTGAATACATAAGACACTGCAGGCACTTTAATTAGAGCGGCTCCCAAGAGTCACTCTAATTAAAGCCCCCCCCACCCCAGCCCTGGACCATGTATAAAGATGCCCTAGGATTCTATGTACCATCCATAACCAGAATATTTCCTTTACAGACTGATAAGCTCTTGACCATTCTTTTCAGATTCCTCTACAGAGCCAATGCTCTATCATACTTTCTTCCTTCTCATGATTCCAGTGGGATAGCTTTGCCCTTTTGAAAAACTATACCAATTTAAAAAAAAATTCCAACACAGACACCACTTTCTTCCCTGAGAAATAATGTTTAAATTCCTGAGACCCATTGCTTTCATCCCAAAGAATGAAGTTTGTTAAGCTTCTTCAGAACTGACCAACACAGCAAAAATGTAAAAATCTGTAGGAGAGCTTGAATTTATCAAAAGGGAACTGTATAAATCAAGCAGTGAGATAAATTGAAAGATAAGCACAAGCAAATAATAATAATAAGAAAATACAGCAATCGAGGAGAACTGTCCCCAGAGATGTGGACTTGGAGGAACAAACAGAATATCACCTGTTCCAATAATGAATGAGCTTCATTATTCTGAAATGGATGAGTTTTGTAGGGTTCTCTGCCCCTGATAACATGAGTCATACCTGCCTCAGATTAAGATAGAAATATGCCCAAAAACCTTTAATTTAAAGAAGTTGATATAGTCTGGTTTGAAGAATGAATCAGTCTTCAGAATTTTGTCTGGTGACAGACAGTTGTCTCCATCTGGCGGTAGGGTACTAGCCTGTTCCACATTTTGAAAACAAATGATATGGAAAATATAAGGACAAGGAAGTGAAGTGGAATCTAAAACCACTTCCTTTCTTACAACAGAGAATCCACATCTAGGAAATAAACGTTACAATATTCCCCCAGACAAATCTATGTTACTTACGCATCTGTGATCTTAGTACAGCCATTCAGGTTTAATACTTCAATATTTCTGCAGTTCTGTGCAAATGTCCTTCATTGGAGAAAAGACAGAACACGCTCTTTTTCAGACAAAATATTTACAAGTACTTAAAGTGGATGCTTTAACTTCTATACCAAATTATGATTAATAATAATAATAATAATAATAATAATAATAAATCTCTGTCTTTGGCAGACTGTCAACTATTCCTCAGTCTTTTATGTCAGGATTTTTCACAAGGACAGGGCAACACACAAGTGACTGCTGGGCTTTTACTGATAAAAGTTATGCAGAGAATTAATGGGCTATAGGCCTGCATCTTGTCTCTGAAACTTCCCCAGGCAGAAACAAGGGTCTGAGGACCAGTGCTAATGTCTCTGATAGCACCATCAGGTTTAGTGGTACAGCACATTAACATTCTTTATTTATTTTTCTAAAGAGGGTTGAGAAAGGCTCACATTTCAAACTAGAAAACAACACGTCAAAAAGGAATGATATTTTACTGTCCTATATTTACTTAAACTATTCCTTTTTGGACATACATTCTCAATAGGTCTCATTCTACAGAATTATTTAATGGATACATCATTTCAGACCTCTGTGGTAGCAAAAGAACAACCCTTCTTCACTTCATATTTAAGAGGAAAAAGCAGCTACACCACTACCTTAATGCATTGTCTCCCACTCCTAGACACCCACGCAGGCTTAACTTTCGTAAGAAGCCTCCACATCTTTTAGAAATATTCTCCACTACCCGACCCTGTAAGAGATAGAAAGAATTCCATGATAACTTCTAAGGTAATATTCAGTTTTCCTAATCTCCTGTTTAAAAAGGTAAGTACTACTACTACTAATAATAAAACAGCAACTGCAGATTAAAAATAGTCTGGATACTATTATAAGCACACAGGCACTGAGAAAATGCAATCACTGTCATGGTAACAACATAAAATGAAGGAACAGAACTATTCAGCTTTTGAAGATGGAGAAACAAAGAACAATTACCCAAATGCAAAGAAGAAAGTTAAGGCTATTTAGTAGAAAAATCCTCACCAGTAACAGAAACTGACTGCTCAGAAGAGGAAGTTAAAGCATTATTACTGCAGGTATACAAGTCAGATACAACACAAGGAAAATGGACTTAGTAAAATAAAAACAAACAAACACATGGTACCGTAAGAAGTATAAAGGACTGTTATCATTAGACAGGTACAGGGAGAAGAAGGGCAGTACAATGGAATTCTAATCTCTCAAGAGGATATCTTTCTCTTGAAGTTATTTTAAAAACAAAACAAAAAATCCACAAAGCTTTTTACTTCAGAGGATGAAGTGTGAGATTTTAAAAGGAAAGACCAAACAAACTGCACCAACACATTAGTTTTAGTGTCTAGCAATATATATCCTCCCCCTTTGTTTTGCTCTCCATCTTTGATCACTGTGAAATGGATGTCAGTCACTTTATCGTGTGTTACCAGTATCTAAAAATGTTATTATGATTAAGAGTTTTTTCCCTCTAACCCCTTCCTCCCAAACCAAAAATGTAGTCAAGTATTAGGCTAGCTACTGAGGATTGGCATGATCTAAAAAGAATCTCAGCCTGCTTGTACCCCACATCTACCTTCCTTAAAACTTAATCTACAAAAATAAAGCTACCCTGGGAATGTTTGCTGCAGCTTGGAAGCACTGCAAGTGTTGCATTATCTAAAAGGGATCAAGGCTACATCCCACACTGCATTTTCAGAGGAGGAGAGTTAAAGAATTTTAAACAATGCATGCCTTTGTAGGACTCCGCAGCAGCCTCACCATGACTATGAACAAATGCACTTGGGTTACAGAGGATTTAAATGCAGTAACAGCCACTTTAAATATTTAAGGACACTTTCAGGGAAGATGTAGGGCTTAGTATTTTTTAAAATAAACAACACTTAGGGCTTGGACAGTCTGAGAATGCTTGCTGAGGGCAAGGAACAGAAGCTTATTGGAGCATCGTGTATTAAAAATGGAAGCTAACACTCGGCCACAATTGTGGCTGCGTACAGACATCTGGGGAGGCTAGGGGGAGGTTATATCAAGTTAAAAATGGCCACCCAATCTAAAATAAATCGGGATTGTGGGACTAGTGGAGAGGGCTGGGGGAATTGGGGGGAGTTGAGGGAAAGCAGGCTCTGGGTAGGATGGCGGGGTGTCCACAAAGAGATCGGGGGTGGGGAGGTGGTATCCACAGGGAGGAACTGGGGGTAGGTGGCAACTGAGAGGGGGATCAAGGGACTAGTGAGGTCCATGGGAGAGTTTGGTGGGACCAGGAGGCTCAAAGGGTCCACAGGTGGGCTTAGGGACTCCCTCCCACCCCTGACCGAGGGCTATTTTTAGCCCTCTGACCCCCAGATGAACAACCCCCACCCCAATTTGCTCAGCTCCCAGCACTGGCAAATTCTGGTAAAAGTGATCCCAGGAGTGGTTTGCAGGATGGGAAGTTTGGTGGGTTGGTGGAAAAGGCAGGGGGGATAAAAGTAGCCCAGTGCTGGGAGGAAAGGGGAAGAGGGGCAAGCAGGAAAATCACATCCCTAGGGCTGAGGCCTGCATCTGGGTTTTCCCAGCCTTGGGGCTATGCTGGAAACTGTACAGAAGTCTGGGACAGTTACACTGGTCTAAAAATGGACAACCTGATCTAAATGGAGCGTACCTCAGATGTAAGATTAATTTAAATCGGGTTGGCCATTTTTAGACCAATTTAATTGTCCTGAATTTCTATACAGTTTTCACTTAGATTCACCAGGTCCACAGCTGGGCGAACTAAGTTAAATTGAGTGGCCACTTTTAACCCAATCTAACCTCTCTGTAACCTGCCCAAATGTCTGTATGTGGCCTCTATGTTCATGCACATAGTAATGTTCATAGGCAGAATTTTTAAGCCATATAAAAGCACACAAAAAACAGAAAACCTCATTTAAATGTAAAGCTGTCTCAAAATGAGAGGAAAGGATTTTTGTGAGCGATATCTTTTATTGGACTAACTGCATGTTTGGGATGGACTTAAGCAAGTTTTTGAATCCAATGCATTCATTTCATTCCACAAAAATCCTTGCCCACCCTTCTCTCTCACACAGTTGAGAGAGCAGCTTGGCTAAAAAGTTCCATCCTCATTTTCTTTTTTACCATGAATCAGGGAGCTCCAACAAATATTACCACATGTGCAGGAAAATTATGGCATATACAAATGCAGACCTTAATGAAAGCTGTGAATACTTTTATTTTACCTTTCTCCCTTAAATGGGGTAATGTTTGTTAAGGAAAGCAAAACCATGTTTCCTCACTGTCACAAACCCCAGGCTACTCACACCCAATGCATTTAGATCAGGCTCTAGGACACAAACTGCAACTGTGTTGCAGGCCATTTCCTTTATCTTAGTTTGTGTTTAAACATGTGCTTGGCCCCAAGAGCACTGAAATACTCCCCTCTAAAAATGCAGTGCAACTTTCAGCTTCCATCAAAACCCTCAAATCAGGCCATTCTTAGTTTTACATACTTCCTCTAATATAGAGTTTCAAAGAAAATATAGTAATCTGATAAGGGGCTGAATCCTTGTTTGTTTTTTATTTTTTATTAGCCAGGATTACAGACTTTTTTGGTTCTCAGAATAGCAAATTACAGACATTCTTGGATGGCCTTCACAGTTTACTTCGACACATTTATCCACAAGTACAAGACATTTCCACGGCAAATGTTTTAGAAGCAACTCAGAACTGGGGATCTCTTGCATCCCCCACGGGGTTCACATTTTCAATTTGGCCGTGTACAGAAAGGAGAGAAAAAGCCATAGCAGGCTTCTGTCATAGAAACACTGTAACATAATAGCATAAATATGAATGTACTACATAAAAAAATGATTTTATTGAGAAAAATTCTAGAGCCTGATATTTATCAGCAAGCTTTCAGCAACAGAACGTATTTACCCCTGTTATCTCTGTTCTCAGGAAACTAAAAACTGTTTTCTTACTGTGTACATGTAAGCAGGTACAGACATTCAATGTATGCCTTTCAGTCCTGATATAGATAAATAATTGTCCATTTCCAAAAGCTGAATGAACTGCCAAGCCTTTAAAGGCTCTCTGAAGCTAAGAAGTACTGAAATTAACGATTTCTATCTCCAGAGAAGGTAAAAAGGGTTATATTGGGAGTATTAATCTATTCCAAGCTGTAATTACATTTTAACAAGAAAAATAGGTTTGTATGTCACTTAACTATACCTCAATATCCCTCTGGAAATCAAACAGGTCAATTCGCTGCCAGTTACTGCCATCCAGGGCCAGAACATTCCATGCCTTTATTGAAGGAAAAAAATGTCAGTGTGGTTAAAATGAAAAAAAAATGCCAATAGGAATCTAGTTACAATTTGTCCCTTTCAGAAATACCACTGTCTTAGGTGAGAAAGCATCAAATAATTACTGCAACTGATGAAACGAGAAAGCATCAAATAATTACTGCAACTGATGAAACACTTAGGTCAGCAATACCAGTAGTTCAGCCAGGACTTACCTTGCTTATACAATATGCTCTACCTAAATCCTTGTATATCACAGAAGTCTTATGCAGACAAGTCTAAGGCATCAATGAGATTTTCACTTTTAGGACATACAATAAACTTATGTTGCATTTAGAAAAACTTTGCAACTGTGGAACATATCCAGGGGTAGCATTTTAACAACATTCATTCAAGGATCTCAAAGCATTTTAAAAATAAATGGTGTCTATAAATGTACTCCAGAGTGGGGGGGAGGGGCGTTTTAATTAGACTGGCTCCCAGACAGCCATTCTAATTAAAACGCTGCAATCATGTGTATGATCGGCATCCTATATTCAAAATAGCTGAAGGGGTGCTTTAACTAAAGCTCATTCAATGAGTTTTAGTTAAAATGCCCTGACCACCATTTTGAAGTGTGGGACACTAAATACATGCAACACTGCAACATGCTGGAGTGTTCCTATTTAATTCGATTTAACTTGTTTTAATCATGTCTGCTCCAACGCATTCTAATTAGAATGCGTCAGAGCACGTGTACACCCAAAGGCTTTATTTCCAAGCATATGTACCCATTTTACAGAGGTTTAGACAGGTCAACAGGCTAGTTTGTTGATTTCAGAATTGCTGAATATCTGTGGATATCTGTGGATTACGGCTGTGAGAGCTGCAGGAACATGGCAGCTCTGGAAAAAAAATATCAGGCCATGGGCAAATTAAGGTCCCAGCATATCACAGGCACAGCCAGGAAAAGAACCCAGAACTCATGACTCCTTGAGGTCTTGTGCCCAAACACAAGACCATTCACTGGGTATTTTCAAAGCACTTCTGCTTCCTCAGCAACAATTCTGTTCAATTAGCAGCTCTCGGAATTCCCCAATTTCCCTTTTACCCAGTCACTTTACAACCCCCAACAACATACAATTACATCTGATTTCTGAAGCAACATGACACTGTAACAAAAGGCAAATCCAACTTACATGCAATGAAAATCATTAGAATTTATACTCAGTGCCAAATTATGTGCCATTTCACCATCAAAAAGAAAAGAGCCACAGGGGTTATGACAGAGCTCACTTAACTCCGAATACCCTTCCTTTTCAGATTAAGGGAGTCTGGCAGTCCTTACCTCACTCAGGTAGTAAATACACCCTGTAACAGATGTACACATTACAGTGCCAAGGAGTAGGTCAAGGACAGAGCATTAACTGTGAAATTCCTCACCTCTGTAAATTTAAAATCAGGTGTTTAACCTCCACTATAAAAATAAATCAACCTTCTCATATACTAAAATTTACAAAGTAAGATTGTTTAAGGCATACCTCATTTTCAGGCACCTAACTGAGGAGTGGAGCAGTGGTGCTGGCAAACAGAATATTTTATTTAACATTCACACTGCCAACTAACGTCCCTGTGGCAGACACTTAAACTGAGGTGCTGTGCAACTTTTACAAAAAGGAAGATATGGAACCAGATAAATTTGCTCATTTCCTATGATGTGGAGGTCCAGCAGGTGCATGACAACTGCTCGCTACATATTTTGCAACTCTCATAGTTAACTGGGCTCCTAATTTTCAGTTCTTGCTTCTACTTGTTCCCATTGCACACCTTTTAATGTTGCAGGGCCTACACCATCTTTTTGTCATGCATTTGTACAAAAATGGCAGGGCCTTGACCCAAATGGGACTCATGGGAGCCACTGCAATATGAGTTAATAAGCCTGTGTACAGCTGGGACTGGGGTTTCTGCAGCTAGGAGAGAGATCAGGTCTGAGCAGGATTAACAATCCAGGAGGGGGTGACCAGGTATTAGTGGGATTCCAGACAGCACTAAGTTTAACATCAGCAGCTCAGTGGTATTTAGTGAAACAAAGAAATTTTATTTTTTTTAAGGAAACAGTAAATACACCATCTCACACACGCTCACTGAAGACAGAAGGGAGTAGATGATTTGCTTTCATATAATCCAATTCCTAGACATGAACTAAGCACTTTTTCTTTTTTTTAATAAGACTATGGCCCAACCCACATTAGATGACAGCCTGCAATAGTGAGATTTATGGGAATGAAAATCTATCAAGTTACTAGTATAAAAATACTTGGAAAAGGCTGTTTATGCCAGTCTTGAGCACAGAGCAAGTTTTCAGAAAGCAAATAAATCCATAGAAGGAAGCTTATAATTTTTTTTGCGTGTTAATTACTTTTCATAACAGTTGTTGCTTCCAGCAAATTTTGATACCACATGTGATGAGGTCTGTGCAGTTAGGTCTAGCTGGAAATGTTTACTGAAATTCTTGAAATCACTACCATTACCTTGGCGTGAAAGAGAAAAAATGCCATTGTATTCACAGTACATGCACACTAGCCAAGGAAAGCTCTTTCTGCTCTGGCTGGACTGTGAGCACATACTGTAAAGAGACTGATTTCCTAATAAGCCATTTAAGTGAAGAGGCTCAGGCATCATTAGCATCTCAAAAAGTAACTAGTATTAAAGCACTAGTTCAAACACTTCTTAAGAGCATGCAGTCCATTGACACATAAGGCTCTTTTGTTTTAAAAAGTATTTGATACATACTAATGGTTTTGCCTAATCATATCTATATTCCTCCATCTGTCATGTTCTGGGAGTAGATAGCATGAAGCATCCTGGTGAACCTCTAAGACAGGGGTCAGCAATGTTTTTGAGCAGAGTGCCAAAAATACCTGCAACCTCAACTTGTAAAACTTTGGTGTGCCAGGCTAGACCACGGTGGAGCTGTGAGGGGCCTAATCCTTGTTGTGGCAGCACAGCCCCAGCCCCTTCCCTGCTGTCGGCCCCAAGGTGCATGCCAAGCAAAACGCCTTCGCAAGCCATGCTCTGCCACCTGTGCCGGGGGTTGCCTACCCCTGCTCTAAGATGTCCTATTCTTTCCAGCCTATCCACACACACTTAGGCTCTCTCTGGAATAACTGTCCAGGTATGTTTTTCTACTTTCTCCTCATTTCTACCCTGACAAGTTTCTTCACAGACTTGTGATGCAAAGAAAGAAGAATCAATCCTGAAAGATAGGTCCAGAGTCAGTGCCAAGGGTCACTGTGCCAAATGAATAACAAGTGTCAATGCGAGTGTAACTCCCATGCTGCCACAAAGACTATTAGAGCTATATTAGGTGTAGGTCTGTAGTACCTTGATTTAGCTGTTATTAGTGGTATTGGGCAAGGGACTAGATCTGAGCAAAAGAACAAGGAGATCCACAGCTTGGGCCCAAGGCAGAAAGGAACTGCTGAGGCTGGAGAGACAAAAGGATCTTTGTCTCAGTACTCGCTATAAGCCTGAAGCAGCAGGGTGTAGGGCCTAAAGCTAGATGAGCCTGGAGTTTCCAATCCTGGCTCACTTAGAGCTTCAAAGAGATGACATGGCAAACACCATGCCAGACTACTGAGAGTCTTACTCAGACACTGGATGCAGTGAACATAGGAATCAGCTTCTGGTTCAATCATCAAGCAGGAGGTGCATCTCTTGAAGCCCTTATGTGGCTTATGGCCCCAACAAGAGGCTGAACACAGACTGAACAAAGATGAGTTCCAGTCACTTTATACAGCGGAAAAGCTGACAGAAAAGGGATTTTCTCCCATAAAGCACAGTAAAGATGTCACCTCATCTATCCCTTAAGAGGAAAAGTTGTTCAAGGTAGTTTTACAGCTTGACACAAGGGGGGTCATATTCCACAAATGGGACTACGTAAACCCCCCCCACTTGACAATGGATTCTTTATCTGTTTCACAAAAAATATTTTATTCTTACAAACAACTCTGTAAAACATTTCTAGAGCAGCATGTTTACTATTTTAACTTTAAAAGAGAGGATATTTTTCTTAAGCATTTAAACAAGCTATTCAAATATTTGTTACTTATGCTATGAACTAAAGACCTGCTGTTTGCGATTATTAAATACAAAAAACCTATGTTAAAACAACACCACCACTAAGCTTTATATAAAAAAAACAGTGAGGAAAAGCAAAGCTATGGTTCTTCACAACTGTAACTTTATTTTTAATTACACTTGTACTGAAGTTACCACCACAGTATCACAAAATGTCATAACTTAGATGTACAAGGCAAAAGAGTTTGCAATAGCTGAGGGAACTGAATCGTCTTATTTCTGGGTACTTAGAATCTCAATCAGGAGATTAGTCCTATTCAATGTTTATATTTTCCTGAAAATAAGTAATTAAATGTGCAAGAGCAAAAGAAGTGTACCAGTTTAATGAATGTTTTAATACAGAATCCAATGAGAGTACTATATATTTGCATATAGACTAGATTGAGCAAATGACTCAGTCTTAAGAAAGAAGCTACTTATTGCCTGTGTCACAAAGCATCTAATGTGTTCACAGATGCCCTGAGGAAAGGGACGAGTGTGACAAAAATGGGAGTAGCAGATGAGATGGGTAAACACCTTTGGAAGCCTATGTGGGCCAGTCACTATTGCTACACTGAGGAAGTAAAACTAGTAAGTATGGAACTCAGGATACAAAAGAATGTGATTATTAACAGAAAGTCTGTGGGTTGTGTGGTATGTCCACTTGCAGAAATTCTGGACAAGAGCTCTTAAAACAAGTCTGGAAGCTCCAGTTGAACTGGGGGAAGTCGAAGATCCATTTTATTTCCAAGGAATCTTAGGACTGAACTTCACTGGCTGAACTGCATGGTCCTAAATTACTTTAGCAGTTAAACAGTGAATTCAATACCTAGTTTTCCTTTCACCACTTTGCAGTGACTAAACTGAAGCAAAGGAAAAAATGCTCATTGATATTCTCTTAGCATTAAAAATTAAAGTAATTAACTTGATAAATTGAACTAAAAACACATTTTACTTTTTAAAATGTGATTTTATCTATCTTCAACTAACATAGCCAAGATGAATACATTTCTTCTGTTCAGTGCAGCCTTTCAACGCCATCTAGACTGTTCTTAGAATTTTTTCTAATGGTTGCAACTTAGTTTTCTCTAAGATGGATAAGGCTTTAGTTGCTACCAAATGGAAATATTTAGATATGAACTGTAGAATCATCAGTGCAGTAGATAGCAGAAGTTCCTGGCATTACTAATTTACTATGGAGAACGATATTCTTATAAACAGAGCTTACTAGTACCTACAACTCCTAAAGTCCTAAAATCATACTGAGACACAAGTAATTAAAATCTACCAACACTGAAGTGGGGTGGGGGTAGGAAACAAACACAAAGAACTTTTCTTACCCTGGAAACCTGAGCACAGCGACACAGAGTGACCACATCCAGGAAAGAGAATATTCTGTAAGAGAAAATAAAAATGTAAAGACATTTACTTCAAAGACATCTCAGTTATTTGCATGTAAAATAAAGAGAATGAAGAAAGCTTAAAGAAAAGTTGGAGAAAGAAAACGTCTTTGTACAGTAATTCAGCTGGAAGCTTAACGGAAGATAAAAGTGCAGACCAAGCAATTAATAAATGAAAGCAGAATCCCACATATTGAACTGCCGTGAAATTTTTAATCTCATACCTCGTAGTATCTGCTGACAGAGAGTAAACTGAATGATTATTTATCAAAACACAGATACTTAATGCTACCTTGCAGCTCAGTAGTCAAATGTTCAATTAGCTCAGGACGTCAGAATAAATAGTTACAATTCAACACAAGAGAACAGTTGTACAAAGAATCTGTCTGTTTAGCAGTGAAAATTCCCCAACAGTTGTATTGCTCTGACAGCAGCTGCCGAAATGCATAACAAGAAGTTAAAAGCTTCAGAAAATCCTGGAGCCAGGTTCCAGTTCAGAAACCAATATATTATTTCCTATCATTAAAAATAATTAAATAAGCAAAATGAGAAATAGTTGAAAGTGCTGTGTCTTCCTCATGCCCCAGGGAAAAGGTGAAACAAGTGCATCTTGCCGGATGAGTTAATTAGTGTGTGTCAGTGGTATAAGGTGTGTAAATCAGGTGTGGCAGGAATAAGCAGACTATTTGAAACCCCATCTCTTTGCAAGAGGGCACACCCAAAAGTATTTAGACCTGCTAGATCTATTTGCTTGTTGTCCTCTTTATCAGAACATTAGAAGGAGACTTCTACTCTGTATTCTTTTTTCAAGGGGCTTGGTTTTTCTATTTAGTATCCTACTGAGTATATATAAATCCTTAAGTACTAGATTTTACACTCCTGAGGAAATAAGCATTTATTAACAATATCCGAGCCCTGGACTAATCTATATGAATAAGATTAAGGAGTTTGAAACAGACATTTAACACAATAAACGTTTATAACCTATGATGTTGATTATGAAACTATGTTAACCACAAGGTTAAGAGCTTATAGCAAAAGATAATTTATTTTCATAACTTAAACAATTGCATTATTACAGATTATGATACATCCTGATACCCCTAAGCGTGAAAGGTCAGCTTTAATATTGAGTGGAAGTGAAGAGTATTTTCAGAAAGTGGAAAATTTTAATATTTCAGGACAAGAACTGTGTATCTGCTGCTTTGTTTCATAGTTTCAAAGGTCAGAAGGGACCTGAACAGATCAAGTCCAACCCCCTCCCCTGGGCAGGAAAGAGCACTGGGAACATAATACCCCAGCCAGATATCTATCCAACCTCCTCTTGAAGACCCCCAAGGTAGGGGAGAGCACCACCTCCCTTGGGAGCCCATTCCAGAGCCTGGCAGCCCTAACCATAAAGTAATGCCTTCTGATATAAAGCCTGAATCTACTCTCAATCCTTGTTATCCCAGGTGGTGCCCGGGGCAACAGAGCCTTACTTATTTTCTGCTGGTCCCCCCTGGTGAGTTTATAGACAGCCACCAGATCCCCTGCTCTTTTGGAGGCTGAATAGATTCAGGCCCGTCAGTCTATCTTCATAGGGCCTGGCCTGCTGCCCCCTGACCATGCAAGTGGCCCTCCTCTGGACCCTCTCAAGGTTAGCCACATCCCTGTTGAAGTGCGGCGCCCAGAACTGGACACAGTACTCCAACTGCGGCCTGACCAGTGCCGCATAGAGGGGAAGGATCACCTCCCTGGACCTGCTTGTGATGCATCTGTAGATGTACGACAAGGTGCAGTTAGCCTTACTGACTGCTTCCTCGCATTGGTGGCTTATGTCCATCCTGGAGTCAACAATGACTCCAAGATCCCTTTCAGTCACTGTGTTGTTGAGAAGGGTGTTTCCCAGCCTATAGGTATGCTGCAGGTTCCTTCTCCCTAGATGCAGCACCTTGCACTTGTCTGCGTTGAATTCCATTCTATTCTCCTCTGCCCACCTCTGTAACCTGTCTAGATCTAGTTGGATTCTGTCCCTCCCCTCCAGTGTGCCCGCTTCTACCCACATCTTTGTGTCATCAGTGAATTTGGACAGCGTGCTCTCCACGCCCACCTCCAAGTTGCTGATAAAGATGTTGAATAGCACAGGGCCAAGGACCTGGGGAACTCCACTGCCCACATCCCTCCAGGTTGAAAATGACTCGTCCACCACCTCTCTGGGTGCGACCATCGAGCAAATCTGCCACCCATCTGACCGTGTAGTCATCAATGTCACAATCAACTTTTTTTTTTATGAGCATGGGGTGAGAAACAGTGTCAAAGGCCTTCTTGAAGTCCAGGTAGACAACATCCACCTCAACACCCGCATCCAAGGACTTTGTGACCTGGTCGTAAAAGGAAACAAGATTAGTCAGGCAGGATCTGCCTGCAATGAACCCATGTTGGTTGCCCCTGAGCATTACCTACCATGCTAGGCCCTCGCAGATGTGCTCCCTGATAATTTTCTCAAAGGTCTTCCTAAGAACCGAGGTGAGACTAACTGGCCTATAGCCTATAGTTACCTGGGTCCTCCTTTCTCCCCTTCTTGTAAATGGGGACCACAGTGGCCCTTTTCCAGTCCTCTGGGACCTGGCCAGAGCACCACGAGCACTCATACAGCCATGCCAGGGGCCCTGCTCTGACGTCTGCCAATTCCCTCAGTACCCCTGGATGAAGTGCATCCGGACCTGCTTACTTAAACACATCCAGGCCCTCCAGAAGTTCCCTAATTAGATTGTCCCTGACCCTAAGCATGGTGTCATGTCCCCTGCATTTGACAGGGTTTTACAAACTATTTTAAACTGAATTTAATTCAAAGTGTTGTTTCTTCTTTTTAAAGGATGGAAATATTAGCAATAAATTTAATCTAATTCACCCTAAATTTTTGCTCTATCATATGCAGTTCCTACAGGACAAATCAGCTTCTAAATCCCAGAATTGTAGGAGAATGCTTCAGTTTCTCTCAAGAAACTAAGTCTGCTTCTGTGGTGGACATGTCATACATTTAAACTATTAGCTGTCGCATAAAGGTTAGCAGGTTTAGACAATGCAATTGCTCCACAGTGCAGTATCAAAGTGCCATGCATAAGGTTGAAAATTCCTCCAAACATAAATGTTCTAGATCAGGAGTCAGCAACATATGGCCCATAGACTGGACCTCGCTTTATGCAGAGCTGGAGGGCTTTACTGGTGGAGGACTTTGCTCCTGTCATGGCCAGGTAGCTGGGAGTTGCACCCATACTGCAGCCAGAGGGCAGGGAGACGTGGTATCCAGGTCAAAACACTGGCCCACCTCACACTTGAGCAGGTTTGTTCTGGCCCACAGCTCAAAAAGTTGCTGAATGCTGCTCTAGATCAGGGGTGTTATAAATATGGCCTGCTGACCCCCATCACCTGGCCTGCAGTGCTACCCCTGGCCTTCAGAGTTAATCCATGTGCTGCACACTGCACCTGCCCCATAAGCCTGAGGCAGGTGCTGCATATAATGGATCTGGCATGGGAAGAGAGGGAATCTGTGGGCCCAATCTGGCCCACGGACTGGCCCTGAGCCACTCATCTGGCCCCCAGGGGCAGATGAGTTTGACACCCTTACTCTAGATAATCATGTCAAACAGAAAACCCTAGGTAAGTTATACGGCCCATTGCAGATATATGGGAAGACTGCATGACAGGGACCGAGGACCCTCTAGAAAGCTAATAATAGTTTGGCAACTCTTGAGACAAGTCATCTTTCTTCAACCATGTTGTTTGCTTCAGGTTCCTTCTTACTGTCCTGCACCTAGTCAAGATTTCATCTGTCTCCAAATCAGATACATAAGAAGCTAAAGCTGAAAATCAGCAGGAGAGAAGAGATGCAAAAGACCAAGTGAAAGATGGAGGAACAGTTCGGCATATAGACTGAGTTACTGACAACTCCACCTCCCAGTTTCTTGCCCAGTGGACACATATTCTGCAACAACTGGGATCATTAAATGCTCTAGCTAACAGTCTGTTTCTGTAAGAGAGGAGGGACTGGTGGCAGGGCATTCTTAGTAAGGGATCCATTGTTCTTAATATCACTCACATTTGTGAGTGCCTGAATAAGTAACTTCCATGACACCCTGAAAAATCCAGTTCACCCCACACTAGGACAGCCTACAAATTGGAGAGAGAAAGACAGGAGGCCAAAGGAAGAGATGGGCAAGTCTAGATTGGAAAAAATGTGAAGTTGAGAAGACCTCATTCGCATCTGTTTTCCTTGCATGATTTATAGGCCTGATGAGCAAGACCATACTGCTGCATTACTGAAAATGTTTCATATAAATTATGTATTTCACTCACTGCCTGGAATAAATACATAGTATCAGACTGGTAAAGCTGGTGAAAGAGGCATTTACAATAAGGAATAAACATCTTGTGTACTGATGACAAACTGTTCTTTACAACAGGGTCATGACTGGGAGGAGTTATCAAGGT